ACTTATCGCGTCCCGCGAGCCGCGAGCTGCCCGCGGCCGCCGCCCTGCAGACAATGTGTGCACACGGGGTATCCATGGGCCCCGTTTACTATTTCGTGGTCGTCCGTACCGCATATGCAGGCGGTGTGCGCGTGCAAGCTTTGCCTTGCCCACCGTCGCCAACCGCATAGCCCCTTGATTACGACGAGTAGGCAACCCGCCCACACGCCTGAGTGCGGTACAGTATCATTTAAAACAGTAGGACCTATCCTATGGGACACCGTACTGTAGTCATTCCTGTTGTAAATTTGCAGGACGGTAGCGCAGGACAGCGGGTGCCGCCGGACAAGTGCTCTTCGCTGCAGGGGGCCCCGCCCGCCCCGCCTCGTCCCGCTCTCCCCCTTCTCATTCCCAGCTGATGCGGCTGCAGCTGCCCGCGCGCTCAAACTTTTGTTCCCCGCGCTGGTCCAGGCACGTTCACGCGCGCCTTGTTTTGGAACGCACCCAGTCGCCTCGCGAAGGGGCGCGCTCCACTGCTAAAATGCGCAATGTACGTAAAGTCAAGTGGTGTCGAGTACACGAGGATTAGACCATCCAAAAAGCCCGCGTGGCAGCAGCATCGGCTTTTCTTTTGTCGGTCTAGTTTATAGTGATCGTCTGTAAAAGCAGGTGTGCAGGATACGGATGAGCCGGCAGGGCGCGGGCACCCGGGGCGCACGGTGGTGCGCGTCCTTGGTGGGGGCGGTGGCGGGATCCGCGGCCGGGGCCGACCAGGGTCTAGGTCAGAGCAGGTGTCCCGTCCACGCGCGCTCCCCGCCCGCCCCGCCGCGCCCCCCAGTAGGTCCCGCGTCCTGCCGCGGGCCTCCTCCGAGCACGTGTCGCCGCCCGCACCCACAACTCGTTTTGTTTGGCCGGCCGGTCATCAGCTGCTCGAACCATGAGCCGCGCTCGCTCTTGTCGGCGCGCACGGGAGCGGCTTGCAGAGGATACCCGCGAGGACCTCGCGGGTAATATAAGGACCTCCGTAGGATGTCCTCGCCTCGCGCAGGATCGATAGGAACCTCGCTCGCGCCGCGGAGGCTTCCCTTGGAACCTCCACGCCGGCGGTTCGCGGGCGCTAACTCGCACCTCTAACGACGGCGCGAATGTGTTTCCGAAGGCGAGGAAAGGGGAAGGACACGCACCGCACAAGGGGCGCATTGTGCTTCCGCGGAGCGTCGCGACGCATGAGCACACCAACACCATACCGCGCCGCTCGACGCGGGCCCCGGCCGCAGCGACGGTTTTTATGCTAATAATTGCACCCTTCCTTCCCACATGTCCGCCGCGGCCGCTCCGCTCGGCCCCTCCCCGCCCCGCCAAGCTCATTCGCACTGCCTCACTCGCACACTTGTTCGACCAGGGGGGACCAGGGGAAGGTAGGGGGGGGG